CCCTGTTTTTTATGATTCATCCTGTACAAGCTGACATCTCAATTACCAGCATTTGTTATCCAGGACCGGGTATAGTATCATTGTTAAAAAAAATATTTTTGATTTCTGATGACGGCGATGGGGTTTGTCAAGAAGATCATGTGTTCACTAGTAACATTTCATAGAACCTTATTAATATGCATATCTTCATGTTCTCAAACACTGTGACAGATAGGAACATGTAACCAGATATAATATGGAATCACTGATATGACTAATATATGGGCCCTGTGTATTTTTGGGTGTGTACCATTTTTTTTCACCACCTTGGCTACGTGTTAAAATGGGTCTCAATTCACTTTGGTATGTTACTTATTCGTTCGACCAATCTTGGATTTTAGTTGTGCATGCAAATCATGGTTTGGGCCCTGTGTATTTTTGGGTTGGTGCCATTTATTTTCATAACCTTGGCTACGTGTTAAAATGGGTCTCAATTCACTTTGGTTTGTAACGTAATCGTTCGATCAATTTTTGGACTTTAGTTGTGCATGCAAATCATGGTTGGGGCCCTGTGTATTTTTGGGTGTGTACCATTTATTTTCACCACCTTGGCTACGTGTTAAAATGGGTCTCAATTCACTTTGGTATGTTACTTATTCGTTCGACCAATCTTGGACTTTAGTTGTGCATGCAAATCATGGTTTGGGCCCTGTGTATTTTTGGGTTGGTGCCATTTATTTTCATAACCTTGGCTACGTGTTAAAATGGGTCTCAATTCACTTTGGTTTGTAACGTAATCGTTCGACCAATTTTTGGACTTTAGTTGTGCATGCAAATCATGGTTTGGGCCCTGTGTATTTTTGGGTTGGTACCATTTATTTTCATCAGCTTGGGTATGTGTTAAAATGGATCACAATTCACTTTGGTTTGTTACGGAATCGTTCGACCAATCGTGGACTTTAATTGTGCATGCAAATCACGGTTTGGGCCCTGTGTATTTTTGGGTGGGTACCATTTATTTTCATCACCTTGACTACGTGTTAAAATGGGTCTCAATTCACTTTGGTATGTTACTTATTCGTTCGACCAATCTTGGACTTTAGTTGTGCATGCAAATCATGGTTTGGGCCCTGTGTATTTTTGGGTTGGTGCCATTTATTTTCATAACCTTGGCTACGTGTTAAAATGGGTCTCAATTCACTTTGGCTTGTAACGTAATCGTTCGACCAATTTTTGGACTTTAGTTGTGCATGCAAATCATGGTTTGGGCCCTGTGTATTTTTGGGTGTGTACCATTTATTTTCACCACCTTGGCTACGTGTTAAAATGGGTCTCAATTCACTTTGGTATGTTACTTATTCGTTCGACCAATCTTGGACTTTAGTTGTGCATGCAAATCATGGTTTGGGCCCTGTGTATTTTTGGGTTGGTGCCATTTATTTTCATCACCTTGGCTGCGTGTTAAAAT